CGATAGTTATATTTTGCATACAATTTTGGGAATCAGTTGGCGACGGAGCGGAGTGGCATGGTTTCAGTTTCGATCGAACCGCTGTTGTCTCCGCTTGCGCAACGAAGCACGTGCAGCTGCAAGCCTGCTGAAGTTGCCCTTACGTGCATGCGAACATGGTTGTACAAAAGAAGCACCAGTCGGGACGCTTGCAATCCATTGTTTTACGTTTGCTTACTTTCGACGAAAATCTGACACGTTGGGAACCAGTAAAATGGTGGCAAGCGGTTTTTCGGAATTCCTCGGCAATGCCTACAGCACTGTACTCTTCTGGGATCTCTCAGCAGTAAAAAAGCAGCGAGTTTTGTCACAACACGTCACGTCAAAACACAACACAGCACAAAGTGCCCTTCGTTTGTACAGCACTTAAAACAAATATTTTCTTATTACTCTAACAATATCTGCTCTAAAAGCCACTTTTGCTGCTCCGAAACACAGTCTTGGCTGCTCCAAAAAAACACTTTTGCTGCTCCAAAACACTGTTTCGGTTGCTCCAAAGGCCACATTTGCTGCTCCAAAACACTGTTCTGTCTGCTCCAAAAGGTGCTCCAAAATGGCTTAGGCCTCACATCACTGTTATGGAACAGAATTGCTTTTCTTTTTTGCAAAACTTAATGTATACTGAGTATTGTTAGCTTGGAAAGGTAACTGAATACCAGTATCGTTACTTTTCAAAATGAACTAACATTACTTTTACGTTAGATTTGCGTTACTCAGCATGTACGCCATCTGTACAAACTCTGGCAACATACATGCCATCTATGCAAACTCCAAGAAGAATACACGGTTGAATTTTAACGTTCATGTTTTACTTTTTGACAAATATTTACATTTACAATATTACAATATTTGCAATATTTGCAATTTACAATGTTTGCAGTTATGGCTGGTCATCTCGGCTCGCCGTTTTGCTAATGCAAGATGGTACCTGCAGTCGCTCGACCAAAGAACTAGATGGAACCTCGGCTTCCAATTGTCGAACATCTGGTGTACTTGTGTGAAACTTTCGCTGATCTTGTCTAGGGAAAAGCTGTTTGCATAAAACACATGGCTTTAATGAAATTGAAGTGTAAAAAAGTTACTTGAAAGGCATTGGGAATAACCTGGTGAAGTATAAATATTCAAATTTCGGTATTGTTTCCATGATAAAACGCTCGTCCCTCTTTACAAGGATGGACTTTGATGCTTTGGGGGGCTATACACATAGAAGATAGCTAAAAGATAGCCTTCTTGAGATTCAGGACAAATAGGTGATCCTGCATTTGTGTGTGGTGTGGTGGCTCCAGCGAAAACTCACTGTCGGTGTTAGTGAGGCAGGCCACATTGCAGACTCCTGCTTCACAGTCCAAAATGGGGCGGTTCTTGTGGAATGGTGGACATTTGAGTTCAGTGAGGACAGTTTCCCTGCTTGCTTGTATAAGGCTGTCTGGGCTACAGCAGCAGAGCCAGGGCTGTTGGGGCATGATAACAAGTCCTGTCTGAAACAGTAAACTATAAATATCTTGCTGCAGTGAGAGTCCAAGATTATTGTGAACACGAAAATCCCTTGCCTAAAAAACTGTTGTGCACAGTTTACCCTGCAGCTCCTTCCTCGCTGTTGGCTCTGTCTAGATACCTGCATGTATGCATACAAGGTAGGGCAGAATGCAAGATAATGTATGAACAGATTATCTACAAATCTTTGCCTCTACACATTTACTGTGATGTCATCATGCAGCATATTGCCAAAGTTCAAATTGAGTTTATGCTAATTACCATACTGGACAGCTTTGTTTGTGAAGCGCTTGGGTCTGCACAGGCCCGGGGCTAGAGCATTGAAGTTGCCTCTTGTCCGGATCGCATTCGCGGCCGTGCTCGAGATGCGCATGCGGTGCTTTTCATGCCACCTGAATGCATTAACCATACAGAAAGCAGAGCAGACAAAAGCTCTTCCCACCACCCAAGCAAAGCCAACAACCATTTTGCACCTTTTTTCACATGCTGTAAGTGATAGTACATTCAAAGGATTACAAGGCGCAATAATGTTCCGAGACTAGTTTTGTAGTAGGGTAATTCAAGTGGTAGTTTTGTAGCATGGTAATTCACACACAGTTATCAATAGCATGGTAATTCACACGCAGTTGCCAATAGCATGGTTCTTCATGTGTTGTTATGACTAAGGTCATCATTCTAGGAGCACTTGAAACTGTACTGTACGTCTTTTTGCAACCACCGGCAATAGCACGTGGGTTATTTAAGCATGGGCTGCAATGAGAGTGGAGAGAGCATCAATTCTGCATCAGACTCGGCAAATCTTGAATAGCAACCTGTAAAATGATGCAGCACGCTTGGCAAAAAAGCAGCAGGTCGTGCGGGGTGTTTTGAATGACTTCAAGAATGGCTGAATATCACTGGAAGACGAAAAGAGGTTGGTGATGGTCGCCCTAGATCTCCTCATCTTCCAGTGATGTTCTACCATTCTCGAAGTGCAAGAGCCACTCAAGGTACCTCGCACAACTAATTTTTTTGCCAAGCCTGCGAAATTATTTTAAAGGTTGCTGCGTCAGCTCTGTCCAATCAGACGCAGAATTAGTTCTTGCCCTATGCTCTCATTGCAGTTCAGGCCGAAAGCGCAGAGGTGTAGCACAGTTCTAAATGTTCCCAAAACGATACCCTTTGGCACATGAAGGTCCCTGCCTTCGACAGGTGCGCACGCATCGCCATACTTTCTTCTATTTTTGCATTACAAAATTAGTCTTAGAATATTTTTATCGGACTTTGTAATACTTTAACTACGCAAGAACAAACATTTGGTCTTCACGAGCCACTTCACTGCAGAATAATTTGCGATGCATTTTTTGTGATGTTATTTTTTTGTATAATTATTGAAACTTGGGTCATCATGATATGTTAGTTGATCTGAATAGAGCGTGCTTTACAGTGGCAACTATAAGCACTTGGTAAATACTCATAATACTCATTCACAGTCCTGCAACGGGATAGAGAGAAGGTGCAATGCTTCAAACAGGTTCATGCCACATGCAGATGCTACGTGCCAGTGAGAAGTAGAAAGGTTAAAGAGCAACATAGTTAATACAGGCAATGCAAACGGGCAACTTTGAAAGGTGTTAAGGGTTGAAGGACCAGTTATGTTAAATGTTGCTAAATTTGGCCGCAGTCTCTGCAATGCAGGATACAGTGCAAGCAGAAACATGCCATAGATTTGTTGACTGGCCCATTGTATCCACTGCCAAGTCCTCGACATCGCAGAGGAGCATGATGTTGGCGACATACTGCTCCTGCAATTCATTGCCAAGCGTTGACAGAAAGTTGAGAGCTTTAATAGACACGCTGAGGCCTGTGGAGCACGCAGTCATGTGGTGGTAGACCTCGTGAGGCCCCTTCATGGCAGCGAGGATCCCCACAAGCCTTGCCTTGTCCACAGACAGGGACAGCCTGGCAACCATGTCATCCAGGACTTTTCTGCGTATTAAATCATCAGCCCTCCTGCTATAAAGTTTAAGGATCTCCATTAAGGGGCCCTGGATTTCAGGATAGCGTTCGAGCATAATTGATGGCGACGCTGGTCGAATACCAGGGCATGAGGTTGATGGACTTGAAAGAAAAATAAAGGTTTTATACTAGCTCTCTGTCTAGCCGAACATTTTCATTACAATTATAGTCAAGTGATGCAGGGCCATTTACACAAGAATAAGCCAATGCTGAATTCTTGATTTTGCAATCTTCCTTCATCTCCAAGGGACAATTTAACCCTTTGTTAGGCAGGACTATTTTTCAGTCCTGGATTTTACAGGTCACAAATAACCTTATATGCAAATAAAGGAACATATCTACATTGATTCCAGAAAAATTTATCGAACGGTTCTCGAGAAAAAAGTGGTACAAATGTGTACTGCTGGAGTCGTCACGAGAAATGAAAAGTGGTACAAATTCATACCGCTGTCTTGCAACTGGTGTTAAGCCTTCAGTGGTGAAATGCTTGAAAGCACCTGACACACGGGCACTTGGCACTTTTGACACACGTAGCTTGTGCGGACCCGTTTCTTCGATGTCGAGCACCAGCTGCATCGCCTTCATGTTGTGCAACGCTGGGGGGTGTGGTCTTGTCCAAGGAATCTGATTTCCTTAGGAACTCCGACCATCTGTTGGCCAGTTGCAGCTCTATTCTTTTTGGTCTTGTGTGCAGTCATCGCCTGGCTGCACCTGGACACTTGACCATTGATGAGCCTACTTCCAAGACAGAGACAAAACCACTGGTATGTGGTATCCGGATGAGCGGAAAATTGCAAAAAGGCGTTCACCACTGCCACGTCGAACAGGTAGTAGAAGATTCTGTGCCACCACGTTTTGGGGCGGTGATCAGCTGGATATGCACTGCTTTCCTGTTCGAACCGATTTACACCTCCAACCCAGGCATTGTAGTAAGAAAGCGCCTTAGGGCAGGTTACGCCAATAGTGGCTCCACTTGAAAGCTTCCTGTTGACCTCGATAGCTTCCTCTGGGTTGTGGAAGTTCGACGTGGCATGGATGTTTTTGTTATCCTTCCACTGATAGGCTGTTACAGGTCCTCTTGACTGCCAGATGTGCTCGCCTTTCTTGAGCTTGTTGTCCTTCTTTATTTCAGCAGGCAGGTCTTTTCTGTTCGAACGCACGGTGCTGGCTGCGAAAATACCCCTTTCCGCGAGGTTTTTCATTAGTCGTGTTGTTGTAAAATAGTTATCAAAATACAGCTGTGCGCCTTCTTGGACATTCTCGCCAAGTGATAAAACAACATGCTCTCCCAGGGTCCTCTCGGCAGGCCGGCTTCCGTCTTTTCCTTTGTAGATCTGAAACTGCACGAGGTATTTGGTGTCAGAATCAGCCAGGCACCATACTTTGTAGCAACATTTTATGGGCTTCATTGGTAAGTACTGCTTCAGAGCAAATCTTCCCTTGAAAAGTATCCTACTTTCACCCACTGACTAGTGGGAGGAAGCTGTGTGGTTCTGTGTGAAGCGCTCATCCAGGGCTGTGACCAAAGGGCGAATTTTTCCCAAGCAATAGCCATCCTCTCCCTTCTTCTTCTGTTCCAATTTGTCACTGAGGTGAATGTAGTTCAAGACTGCCTGAAACCACTTGAAGCTCATTACATTGGATATCTTGGGTACATTAAAGAATGAGTCGCTGCTCCAGTACAGGTAGAAATGGTGACTCGGATTGACAATCATCAAGAGAAGCATTCCAAGGAAGACTTTCAATTCATCTTTGGAAAGATTGTACCACCCTGGCTTGTTTGTCTGGTAAACGTCCCTGTTCGTCTCCGTAACCATGTTCAGTACGGCATCGTCAAAGTAGAGACCAAAAGCTTCACTTGTTGTTTTGGGAGGGTCAGTTGAGTGCTGTGCATTCCAATTTTTTGGTTGCCCAACAATGTTGGTCGGAAGGTTTGTGGGCCAGGCTTCTGAGGAAATGCCTTCCTCATCATTCTTATCAGTCAGCAATGCTAGCTAGTCCTTTTTTTTCTTTCTTTCTTTTTTTTTTTTCTTCATTGGTACTATGCTTTGCGTTTCGAATTAGTGCTACATGAAGGTGTCAAAGGTTCGGGCTCTAGCTCCTCCTCGGCCGCCAAATCCGAATGGAAATCATCATTGCTTGAACTGTCACCATCGTCTTCACTCGAGCATGGATTCTCAGGCAGGCTGAAAAGCAGATCAACAGCTTCTTGTGTGAGCCTCCGGCCTGAAAAATGTATGGTGCAAACCAGGCTCCCGGACGAACCATGCCGCAGTGGCGTTGGGCTTCGTAGACAGAGCCCTTATCTAGCTAGAGCTCATGCTTTTTTTCTTTTACGGCAGCAATTACAAAGTATTTAACAATATACTCCATCGAAAACAAATCATAGGTCCCTCTTTTAGAAAGCAGTAACCGCACAGACTTACCTGGCATCACGAAAAAAACATGAAGCGAATCTATTTTCCCGTTCAAACGTTGTCACAATCCTGTACACGTCAGTTGTGAAAATATCATACAATTCCCTCCATCTGTCGGAAAAAAAAATCAAAACATTGCGGACTGTTTCCCAAGCAATCCGGCAGATGGCAGCACACCAGAAAGTGGTGCAATGATGGACCGCTGCTTTTTTACGGTCATTTGGAGCCTGGTCTAAATGTAGTACATATGTGTACCATTGTCCCACAAAGGGTCAACAGCACATTATTCTTCAGCTTCACAGGGAAAATAGTGCCATTTATCTGCATGGACAGATAAATAACAGATTTTGGGACAAAAATTACCTGTAAACAAATCTTGAGGTCTTTGTTGGGGACAGAAGTAGGCTTCCCGCTCTGGTTGCCCCACTGCTGAGACCGACTGGTGCACGAGGAATCTTTGGCGTTGTTAATAAAAAAATAAACTGCGTCACAATGCCATTGCACAATGCACAATGCGCAATGGTCATGACCATTCGCGGGGACCTTGATAAATAAAAGAAAACAAAAAGATAGACTTTATGAACAGATTTTCTTTCGAAATGATCATGGGCGAAAACATTATATCCTTGTAACTGTCAAACTATGCCAGCGTCGTCCGCAAATCGCAAATATATCTTCAGCGTGAAAGAACCTTTTGCAGCACCGCTTCTGCTGGAGGTTCAGCAACGGAAAAATACCTGGTTGCATTCTCAATGTCTACGAGAACGCACACCAACAGTGGTTCATTGCAATTACTAATCTCGAGAAGGCACACCAACAGTGGTTTATTGCATTTACTAATCTTAGGATGAGTGGAAACAATGTTATTTCGGTATGGAATTGAAACAAGCACCACTCACTTGCAGAAAGATGTCGTACACGACTTTCGGTCGCACCTGTGACATGCATTTCGCCCTCACCTTGTTCGTCAGGCCGTCGATTATTTCCTCTACGGAAAATATATGCTTATGCAGCTTCTCACACTTTTTTAAATTGGCCTCGTGAAAGAATTCTCCGTAGCTTTCTACTTTTTGGGGGCCGCACCGTAAACGAAGCATAAGCACGCCGTACTAAACAATACAGTTATGGTGCTGAGACGCTACCGACGCGACCAGGTGTTGAGGTGGCGGTGCCACCTTCACAAATTTAAAGCGCCCCTGGTCGGCTGCTTCGATCCTATGTTGACGTTCCCATTGTCTTGCCACCTCACAAGCATTACGTCACCTTCTCTCATACCTTATGGTCTAAGCCTTCTCTGCCTTCACGCCTCAAGTCTTTCTCGGGCTTCAGGACATAGCCCTGCAGTCTGTTGGTACGGATAGTCCCAATCACCCAAATACCAGCTTCCTTCAACTGTCGAAGAAGAGGCACTGACGTGAAGTAGTTGTTAAAATAACACTTGAAGTTAACAAACTTCGGTATGCACTCGGTTAACCTCAATACGATAGAGCCACCCAGGTCGAGGTGCTTGTGTTCCTGAGAAGTGCCAGTGCCCCTTCCCTAATACAACTCTAAGTCAAAAACCATGCCTTCCAAGATACAATGGATAAACGCCTAAACTCCTTTTGGGTTAGGTTTGTTTCTTACAAACTGTTTGGTAGCCACTCTGCCTGTAAAGGGCACCATTTGCTCATCGATGCTGTTTCTTCCAAACGGTGGCAGCGTCAGACACCACACTCTGGTTGCATCGAGCAGAGGCCTCACCTTCCAGAACTTGTCACTCGGCGAGTGCAGTGATGACGACTCTGTGATGTGGAGGTCTGACTTGGGTAAAAAAATAGGTTTACGCTCATTGCCTCTGAGGCAACAGGAATTTGGGTCGCTGGTTGCCAGTACATTCTGATTCGTGGAAACTTCAGCGTTCCCATTATCATCGGCATCCCAAGAAATGTCTTAATCTCTTCTGGAGGGGTCCCAAGAATGATACCGGTCGCCTCTAGTATGTTGGTACACCGCGCCACCTCCCAGAAATGGAGCTACTGCTCCAATTGCGCCATTGTGCGCCTAATGACTTCTCATATGCCGTACTGATGCAAAAATATAGAGAAGAACGATATTGCGCCAAGGTGCACCCAAACTGAAATTGTAAACGAACCTCATCGAAATTAGCCGTCTCGCAGTTTCTGTTGGCAACATTGACACCGGAACTTTCGGTCCAGAGGGAACGCCGGTGGATTTGAATTCGAAGCTCTGTATCCGAAGGTCGCTGCCATGGCTATGCTTCGTTTCAGCTTAAAACAGTTGTTACAGCATCCCTCATTGCAATGCTCCTGCTGCCAGACCTCTTTGAAGCCATTCGCTATTGCTCTGCTTTATCTAAGTCCATACACAGATGATGCTACAAGCGCAAGCTCTGGACATTTACTCTCAAACCAATGTTTCCTCAAAAGGTCCATTTGAAGAAAAAAGAACTCACAGTTCCAAAATATCGGTATCTACAGGTTTGCTTAGCTGAGCGAAACACTTAATGAAGGAAGTTTGGCACTGCACAGCAGTTTTCCGCGTCAAAACTTAGAAAAAACACGGAGCTTATGTGGGGCACGTCTCTGTTTCCGTGGTGGTTTCACTGTTCCAGTTGGAAAATACTACTCATCCAAGTCGCATCAAAGTAATCAAGCACTTTATTGAGCTCCGGAATACTGAGCAATATAATCTGCCGATGTAGAAGCCACTAGATGGAAGAAAGGAAGATGCCACAAGCTTAAGAATGAGCGCTCTTAGCTGACTGTCACTTGAATATGGACTTTGGAGTCCAGCCCTCTGAACGGAAGTCCACACTCTGCAAAATGAAAGTGGCATTAGGCCATAAAATATAGACCCAGAACGAGTATTTGCCGCCTCCTCCCTTTAGTTTTTTATTTTTTTTGCTCGAGTATTATTTACCTAGCTACATCGCAAAAGTTAGGCCTTATTTTCATATGTGCCAACTCTTAGACGGCCTTTTCACATAACCTCTCATTCCAGCTTTTAGAAATTATCATTTATTGGAAGCTAGAGATGTTCCCCTGAAACCACAGAAAAGGAAAAACCCGCTGGGCCTCTTAAATAATCTCTTTGAGCGATCACATGTAGGCAAAATACACGAGACATTCCCACGAGAAAGAAAATTTTCAACTTTTTATACCCATCGCGCCATCTGGTGCACGACTGCAAACTCATTGCCAGGTGAAATGTTGGAAGCTCTGGAAGATGGCAGCGCCAAAGAAAATGGGATGTATGCATTCTTTGCCGTTTGCAAGCACTTTTGCGTATATCACGAAGTGGGACGTATATGCCTCACTGTCTTACAAAGGGTTAAATTTTACCTGATCCTGTGTGAATTAAGTCCCAATGGGAAATAGATTGCACATGTCACAGCCAGAAAACTAAGAAATGTACATTCTTACAACATATTTTTTTGATCAACAACAGCCTATTGATCCTAAAAAGTAAACTAGCTTCTTTTAATTCACACAGTTGTTTGCTCGGGTCTCACGAGGATATACTGTCCAACAAGAAAACTGTTTCATTAAAAAACATGACGATGCCCGATTAAGCCGCATCAAACAGAAGAAAAGGATGAACGCAAGCATGTATACATGAACATTTCACAGAAAGTCACTTCAGGCGTCCTGCCACACATAGAGACACTAATGATTCAGCACTGTCAGAAAAAAACAAAAACATAATGACCAGAAAAGGTGCCACAAGAGCTCCATCTGTGCGCAAAATAATTATATACACAAAGCGCAACACAAAATAAACGAGGGAAAATTCATAAATGGCAAGTTTCAACAAGGGTGTGTTCTCTCCTATAAAACTAAATACGTAGTACTTGTGTGCATCTTGTACCAAGTACGAATCAACCATGCAAATGATAAACTTTATCACGCGTGTATATTTAATAATGTTTAACGAATAAATGTGAGGCAACAAACCAACATTCAACACATTCAGGTTGAGGAAAGAGGCAAAAATATACACTGGCAGGGAATGCAGAGTGTCGGTGCATGGCCACTCAATCTGCTGCGCGCGCTTGAGCGAGATGCATTAAATTACAAACATGAAACTTCTCGTTTCAAACACTTTTTCGAAAGGGGAAAAAAGAGACTATCCACCTAAAATGAGCCAAATGTAGCTAAGCGTTGGGCTGTTTTGGCAATAAATTCAGTCAAGACATTAAGGCACAGCTTTCCAGTTCTTTGTCGGTGGGCATGCAGGAGAAGGAGATGCGTGAGGCGGGTCTGCATGCAATGCACTGAAAGAACACTCTCCTGATGCTGCCGATGCTGGCACCGTTAGTAAAAGCTGCACAAGCCTGACTACCTGTTCCAAGAGATTCAGAACAGTTCGAGACTGTGCCTTCGGTGCTTTTGCAACAT